AGTGCATGTTTACGTACCTATCCTGAGGTCCAGCTCCTGCCTGACGTCAACGGCATCGCTCGTTTTTTGATCGGGTTGGGTGAGGTTCTCGCAGGCTGTTCTGACAGCATGAAGCGTAATCTCTGAAAAACGGGCTCGGAAAACCCGGAGGTTTGGCTTTACTGTCAGACACACACACAAAAAACCAAACGACAAAAAAAAAAGAAAACAAAGAGCGACTCAAACACCAACGGAAAGGAGCAACTAATGAGCAGCTATCTTCGAAAGAGCGTGCTGTCAACCTGTTCAAGAGCTTTCCAGTAGCTGAACGTATTTCTGGTGTATCAGAGCCACGTTTATCAGAACTACAGTCAACATATTTAACCCGGACACAGCAAGATTAAGAATACACCTCTGTTACGACATCTCAGCGCAGCGATACCTGTTAAATCAGCACTTTATTGGAACTCGGATTGACGCAGAAGATGCCCTACGCACCAGCTTTGCAAACGTGAATTATCTCAAAGCCGATGTTCTCCCCTTCTCGATCACAGTCAGTCCAGATCACCAGAGCTTGGCACTGCCGGACTTCTCGTTCAAGGGTTTTCTGAGATGAGAAAACAACGCCAAGTGAGACATACCAGGCCACTTGCTTTATCATTTAATTTTAGAATGACTCACTAACTGAACGTGAAATGCAACGTGTATCCATAGAGATAGATTGTTGCAATAACATCTTGTAATTGTGTCTCTCATGAGATTAGGCAGCTTTCAAAAGAAATGAGTCATTTATTTACATCTAACTGTTAAAAAGCATGGCTCGGATCAGATTGTACCACGGCCTGTTTTCTGAAAATGTCATTTTTTTTGTAAAATTGAGACGCAATTACCAATTCCACCTTGCTGGAAAAAACATTTCTACTTTTTGCAAAGTAGTTGTTCCTTTACTGCACTAATTGTGCATGAGCAGGAGACTTTCAATGTCACAAATGAAGAGCATGCGTAGTCCTAGGAAATGCAGGAGGAATTTGCTAAACTCCAGAACTTAGACGTTAAGGACAAAGGTACAATGCTCCTCCTGTCTGAGACAATATTTGTAGAACTAACCTCTGAACTCAGAGATTAAGGGAAACTCTTAGAAAGAACTTACCTTGATATCCACGTAATTTTCAGGGCAGTATTTCTCAATTTCAGCATCAAAAAGAGCTAGAGGGTTGCAGCTGTGCCTGGTAAACAGAGGATAAACAGTGTGCGTAACAAAACCTCAAACTTACGTTGCGAGACACTTGCGAGGAAGTGCTGTTCAAAAACTGGAATTAATAATATATTTTATTACGGGCCTCATCTTAGACAACTTAGAGTTCACATGAAACACCGAGTTACGCTTAAAAGCGATAGAAACAAAAAGCAACCAGAGAAAACAGCAAATCTGGAAGGCAGCCCTAAACAAGCAACTTCTCTTATTTCAAGCACAGAGAACAAAGGGGAGGGAAGACAGAGAAAGCGCCTCGCTTCCCAGGACAGCCCCTAACTGAACAAAGAACACGAAACATCAATCAAGTTTGGGAATCAGTTTAATTCCTTGGGTCTGCCGTAATGTATTTTAACCAGTATTATGACTTTGGGGGTTTTTTAGCGCTCTGAAGACAGTAATTTGGAGCAATATTTTAGCTATTCTATATAAAATTCGGTACTCGTCACCCTGCTCTGCACGCAGCGTCAGAGTCCCTCCCTGCCCCCCAGTCTTCGAACTCGCGGTGCCCCGCTCAGCTCGGGGTTGAGAGCAGAAGATGACAGCCCCCCTTCCTGCGAGGGGGTACCAAGTACTAACCATCTGCGAAACGGCAGCTTAAAATCATGAGCCAGTAAGTGTCCCGACACGGATGTCATCACCACAGTAACATTCTGCAAGAGACAGAGCAAGGTAATTAGTGCCCATCGTTTGCTAAAAACTACCCAGAGCCCCAAGATCTTGGTGCAGTTCTCAGTTTACACAGTCAGTGACACCCCTCTCCTGCTAATACATCGTAACAAGCTCTTCTCTCTACTGACAGCTAAATCTACGGCCTTATCCCTCAATTTTTGTAGGAAGCTCCCAATTCTAAATAGCAACGTATTTTTGACTGATATAAAACCAGAAAGTTGAAAGACTTAAAGCAACAAAACAAGTCAGTGGTTGAGCCAAGAAAAGAACACCTGACTTTTCCTCATCTTTGGACAAAACGTCCCCGTCACTGGAAATGTGTTTCCTAACTTCTGACAAATGGCTTTTAATAATTAGTATTTTGCACTTCTCTAATCCAGCAGCAGAACGAAAGAAAACTCTACCTGGCCAAACATCTGGTAGTCGTATTCGTAGATCTTGTTGAACTTGGAAAACCCTTCTCGCTAGAAGGAAAAGGAAAGTTGCTGAGTTTCTGGCTCCTAACAGAAACCAAGCGCGTTCCGCCCTGCTTTATACACGCTGTTATGGCAGAGCACAGAGAAGCACGGGGCAAGTGAACGCCAGGTACTGTAGCCAAAACAGAAAGGCAAGGTAGGGGGAATGGAAATTGCCTGTATCGTTTATGGAGACGCTGAAGCGGTGCTTTCCACTGTAAGAGTATTTTAAACGATGCCTGAAGGGGATGCCAGGGTTATCGCCCCATGGATAGTGACAACAAACACTGAAGAACAGATGTGTTTAATGGGGCTGGCCAATTATATTCCTGACAAAGAACTGTCCTGCTCCAAACGACAATTAGCGTGCCAGCTCTGGGTCCCCAGGAGTACCCACCACCTAACTGAGACTCGTGGAAGTCTCTGGATTGGGTATTTGCTGCCTTTTCTACAGAAGCAGGACAGTATCTTCCTCGATTGGGACTGTCAGCGCTCAGGTTCACAGTAACACCTTCCATTCAAATATAATTCTGGTCTAGAAGCACCTCCTAGTTCCTTAGCTTGGAAATACCAAGTATGCAAACCATTAAAGGTCACAAAACAAAGCAGCAGAGAGGAGAGATCTTTGAACTCCTCTTCTCCAAACCACAGACCATCTTTGCTTTATTATGTGAACTTCAGTAAGCCCATGACACCTGCTGACGCTGCAGAAGCGGTGCTTTTTGACAGGGAAGTGCATGCCAACAGATGGTTTCAGTTCCTGAAGCTTTTCGCGTACGCTGCAAAGCTAGGAACAACACAGGGAGCCCTCCCTGCGGAGCTCAGTGCCCGGAGAAGGCAGTCCGGGCAGAGGGAGCGCAGCTTGGGGAGCTAAACTCCAACAGGATTTAAGTCACAAGGAAAAGGGGTCCAAGACTCCCAAACACATTTGGGCAAGCGGTGTTTCTCCACAGAAGAAAGCCGTTCTTGTACCCTCGCGCAGTCAGAAGCGGCCCGAGGCAAAAACAGGGCAAGATGTTGCACGTGCCGATGCGAACTGCCCATGCCGAGCTCTGCAAAACGGGCTGGGGCTACCATACAAGACACAGACTACACCCGAGACCAGGACTGTGCTGCACAGCGGTCCCGGTGAGCTGACCCTCTCCAGCCAGCTAAGCCAGACCTGTACGCGTATCAGGAAGCTGTAAAGAGATGTGGCGTATTCCTACCCGTCGCATTCTGCTGTTGGAGAGCAGGTCTGCAATCCCTCGGGCAGCATCGTTCTTCTCAGCCACGCACAGGACCTTCCGGATCCTCTGCAATGCCATATCCTCCGCAGCCCGGGAGAAGAGACGCCAGGGCTGCGGCAGCATCCTGACCCCGCAGCCAGCAAAGAGCCTCGCTTGGAAGTTCATTACAGGAGACGGCGACAGCTCCCGCGGGGCCGAGGCATGCTGCTGTGTCCTTGCCCTGCGGCCGGATCCTGCCGAGGACGGAGAGCGATCGCTGAATGTCCCCCGCACGGCCCTGGTCAGCCTTTAACCGGCGACCCCGGGAGGGCCCAGGGCATCCTCTGCCCGGCCGCCCCGGCGCCATTCGCGGCGCAGCC